CTGTCACTGAATAAAATCCTGCATTGTCGTCATGTTTTGCATTTCAAATGTGTTACAGTAAGTTATTCAGTTGTAGCAAGTCATCTTTTGTTTTACTCTTGAGGATTATGTGCCTAATGTAACCTATCAATATCTCTGTAAACTGTATCTCCTTTCCATTTATTGTGTCATCTGCAAATTTTGCTACAGTATATTAACTTCCTTCCTCCAAACCATTAGTATATATTGTAAACCAGTTGCAGTCCCAGCACTGATCCCTATGGAACCCTACTAGTCACGGGTCGCTAACCTGAAAACAAACCCCGAAACTCCACTCACCGTTTCCTGCCCATGAGTCAATTCTCTATCCATGCCAACATTATACTACCACCAACACCATGGGCTCATGTAATTTCAAGTGACAAACTTATCAAAATGGGCATTGACATATTTCCAAAGATTTTACTTCATGGATAGTTTTATTTTAAAAAAAAAACAACTTAACAGCAAAACGTATTTCAATTTTCTTCCCTATCATTCACACAGAAATGTGGTGATGACAGATTTGGGAGGGACTCAGCAATAACAAACATGTAACTACCATTGATGGTCAAAAATAAAAATCTGGTTCATTAACATCCTTTAGGGCTGGAAATCTACTGTCTTTAGCCAATCTGGCCTGTATCTGACTCCAGACTGACAGCAATGCAGTGATTCTTAAATACCCACTAGCTGCCTTCGCCGTCTCAATCAGTTCAAGGGCAGCCAAAGATGAGAAACAAATGCCAGCCTCGCTAGCAAAGCACATAATCCTCAAGAGTAAAACAAAAGATGACTTGCTACAACTGAATAACTTACTGTAACACATTTGAAATGCAAAACATGACGACAATGCAGGATTTTATTCAGTGACAGACAAACAATGATATGGCAACTCATTAATATCAATATTAACAAGTGCGAAGATTTTACTGATGTTCTTATGAATACTGTTTGTCACTGAAAATTAAATAGCTAGAAATTCAAGTTGCGCATTTTCCCACAAGTTTTGATTTACGACATGCATCTTATATTAGGCCAATGGATCACCATATGAGCTCAAGGTCACAAATCCAAGACTATTCTAAACTATTTCAAAATGTTTTAATTTTATGAAAGAAGCATGATCATTCTTAGCATAGACATGTCCACAATTTCTGTATTCAGGAACAGAAATCAATAGATGCATGTTTAAATTATGAACGTTTCCGATTGGAATTGATGCTCAGGAGAAGAGGTCTTTTCTGAATTTAGGAGATTCCATGCAGTGAAGCTCCTCAAAGCATCCTATTTAGGGACTGGATCAGGTTTGGTAAAAATATCTCCCTCCAATCGTCTGATGCTTTCCGACATGCTAAACAAAAATTTACCTTCACAAAACTAAACCAAAATCTATCTGCCTCAATTCTAAAATCCAAAATTCCAAGAATTAAAATATCTATACACCTATCACAAAATGTAATACCTTAGTATTAAGCAAGAAGGCCTCTCTCTTCACATTTCTTTTCCCTGCTCAGTAATTTATTAATTTGCAAGTTCTGAAAAACTCTCATCTTTAACATTCTCCATATTCTATACTGCCATCTTCTCAGCCAACTGTAATACACATCAGCATTTCCTTCTACCCTACCAACTGCCAAGGTTTGAGATCACTTCCTAAAATCACATTGCTCAGCAGGCTTTGCCACTTTGCTACTAGTTTCCACCCTTCTGGTTGTGAACAGCCAAAAAGAAATATTCTGTTTGATGCAATAAATTTCTTGCTGTGTAATCACAAACTCATTTACAGGCATAAGACCATCTTCCTTTGGTTCTACAAGTACGCAGTGTACCTCATTACCCTGGAAGGGTAAGGTATGTCAAAAATGTAAACAATAGGTGAAGTTAGCTCTTTCTAGTGGCCATTTGACATTACTAGCAGCATGTACATTTTAGTGCTATCAACATATGTCTTGTATGGTCGTCGCAAATGTTAAAGAAACCTTTACCATGTGAAATCAGCCATGGGATTCTCGAGTAAACTCATAAACAGACCTAAGACAGTCACTTTTGGTCCTGAAAAGTAGCAATTCATCCCAGATTATCATAGAATATGCTATCTGAAAAAAATGGAAGCAATGAAACTCGTAGTGTTATGATGTGACCATACAGTACCCAACAAGTGGTGTTAGCCACTAACAGGATTCTGCTGCCAAGCCAAAAAAGACATTCTGCCTTCCATACAAATTAGTTATGTGGTATATGTACTTCAGTGCTTGTGTGCCGCTAAATATGCAAGCCAATATGTTCCAAAGGCTGGTGGATCATGTGACATAGCACGTCACTTAGACTGTTCAGAACTCATGAGGTACTGACCATACCCAGTGAGCCCGTGCTTGCAAATTTCAAAGCACAGTGCCTAACACATTAGATGCAATTCTATGACAGGACAGCATTTGCTTAATAATTCCGAGTGTGCAAAGCAACAGGCTGAAAACCAGTTTAGGATTGGTCAGCCTCATTGCGGTTCACTTGCAGGTATTAAAAGCTACACACCTTAATACACAGCTTCTATTCTTTCAACTGAATAAAATAGGTGACAATGCTGTGTCAAGAGTCAATCCACTTAGTTTAAAATGTAAACAAAGCTTGGCAATTATCTGTCAGTTATCATTAACTGGTATATTCTCCATGACAAATTTCTGGAGTCCACTTGCCAAGCAGTCGCCTCTCATGCAATCTAAATGTTACTTTCCCTTTATATCGGTATTTTTGCAAATTCCCCTGATGAGTGCAATACGAAAAGCTTAAACAAAATGTATTTATTTCAGCAATATTAATAAGTTTGATACTGCCAAACGGCTACCTATATGATAGTCATACTTTAATCCTGATACATACATATAAGTATTGAGGAACATTGCAACATGAATCAAAACCAAAATTTTTCTTTGAAGGGGGAGATGGTCAGCAATGGGGAGAAGCAGTAGGGGAATAGAAAGACAGACAGGAAATTACAGTCAAGACAAACTAGATCATAAAATAGATAGCTGTCAAGATGGAAATACGCATAAGCATGGGGGCTAGAAACCAGAACTAAATACATTGGTTTCCATTCATTCAAGTCGATATGCATATACGTGAATAAGAAGCATTAGAAACAAGATCCTGGAACTGGAAACTAATGCAGCAGCAGGGAATTGTGATGTGTTAGGAACACAAAGAACTTGGCTCAAAACAGAGCATTAAATTGAACATAAATGTTCAAGCTTGTGAACCAAAATACAGTGGTTTGAAGGTAGCTGTTTTCCCATCTGTTGAATCTTTATAGTTTTCTTTGACTTCCTCAATTATTTTCAATGTCATTCCCTAGACTGTCTGCTTATGAACAGAAGTACCTTAGGTTCTTATTTGCACTGAATCAAATTAAGCTTGTCACAAATTTATATCCAGATTTTCTTCCTGTTTTTCTTTTAAGGAAAAGATATCCATGTTCATCAAGTGGGGTGTTTGGTAGAGTTCCACTAGGTATGCAGGTGACTGTTAAGGTCTATAATTCCAAACTTCTGCTGCTAATAAGACAATATATCATAGATGATTATGTTTGGGTGAGCTGCTGTCTTGGGAATGTATCAAAGAATCAGTTAAAGGCATCATCCTTTAGGAAATTCATGTAGAGCATTCTCCCTTGTAAACTCTTGGAGGACACAGTCTCAGAACATGTTCCGTGCTGTGTTCATCCTCTGATGAATCCAGTGCAAGCACAGAACGTGCCAGTTTCATACACAACAATCAAACGATGGAAAAGAAGAAGATAGCTTTTTTTCAATCCAAGACAATGAATGGACACATTGGTGTAACACACAGTTTATATAACCAGTAACATGTTCTAACCTGACAATTCAGTCCCAAATGTTCATTATTTTCCATTTAAATCTTTATTGCTCTAGTTTTGTGCAATTGGTTTTATTGTATTATAGGCTCACTCCTCAGTTGGTATTGCTTCTCCATGATACGAGGCATCATCAGGGACTCATTGTGAACATGGTGTTCCATGTCAAAATGATATCCTAACAGGTTTTGCTTTCAATAAAGCAATCCTTTACAAAATACCTCTTGCTCAACAAAAAGTCATAATTTTATTGAAAATAAAAATAGAAATATGCTATTTTACAGTCTATTGATATTAGGCTCACTTCCTGTCTGAAATGCATAGGAAATATTTCATATATACACACTAACAACACTGCAATATAATCAATAGACTAAGCCTTTTTTTTTTTACACAGATACACAAATAATCAATCACTTTAAACCTTGAGTGAAAACAATAAAGACTATTTAAATTGCTGAATCTACACGAGTGAAATTTGAACATAAATTTAAAGGAAACAATGATTTGTAGCATTCACAAACAAATCTTGTTCTGCTTCCAGCCCCCTGGTGGCAGCGTGAAGACATGCTGCTGACAGGTATTTAATAGTTTGCAAAAACCGTTCGGTCAAGTCCCTTCGGTTCATTTACTTACCTGAAGGCAGGTGCAAGACACAATGGGCTACCTTTAGAGATTCGTACACTGATCTAAAAAATACCCAGGTACTCTTTGGCTCTCTTACAAGTCACCTACAAATCGGTTCCCACTGACCAAAATAGAGTCGAGTTTCAAGGAGAAAAAAAGGTGTGTAATTACCCATCTGATAAGCTGAACGTATTCGCTAAATACTCGTATAGATCAATGATGACCCCATATTGCTCACACACGGTGTGCTGCAACACAGCATCATTTCAGCGTTATATAATAAGGCAATGTACAAATAACAAAAGAACTCCCTTGCGGACCCTGCACCAAGTTGCCATCCCAGAACGCTGCAATTCCTCCCCCTTGTTGTGGCTGGTGAATTATACATTTTTTTCCCCCAAAAGTAAAAATAAGTGAACTGCCATCGACGACGGCGGCGGCGGCGGCAGCAGCAGCAATAAAGCCGCCGGCCCTGGACCGTTACCTGGGGTAAAGCTGAATTCAACTGGCGCTGCAGCAGATCCCTCTCGTGGGCCACCTCTTGCATCTTCTCCTGAGTAAGGGACAAAGTTTCCTGGGTCTCCCGCAGGGTCTCCATCAGTTTGTCCCGCTCGTCCAGCATGTTCACCATCAGCTGCTCGAAATTGGCGTCCTCCGCCCCGTTCTGGGACCCCCTCTGGGTGAGGGTGTCCTCGCTGATGGTGGGCATCACCTCGCACATCATCGTCCCTCAACGACCCCGTTCCTCCTCCACCACACAGAGGCACATATATACACACACACACACACAGAGAGAGAGAGACAGAAACAAAATCAAACACTGGCTGTTTAAGAAAAAAAACACAGTATCGATAATCCCAGCGGCTCTCTCGATACGAATTAAACCGGTTCCTCAATTCAGTTTCAGCGTTCACTCCAAGCACCGGGAGCAGCGCTCGCGTTGCCTCACAACTCAACCGACGGCCACTGCGCCTGCGCTCAAACTCGCCTCCCCGCGCCTGCGTGCTGCCTCACACGCCCCCAAAAGCCGGCCATGCGTCACCGCGATGCTCTGCGCAGACTCGATAATGACCCCACCCTCTGTTCCCCTTCCTCACCTGCCCCTCCACTGCCAGGCTCCGCCTCCTCCACCACCTCCTCACCCCGCCCCCTCATCCTAGCCCCGCCCCACCACGTCCTCTCCCCGCCTCTTCCTTCTCGCCCCGCCCACTTTTCTTCCCTCTCACGGAGTTTACCAGATATTCTCTTAACCTGTTCTGAGATGTTTTGAGATAACAAGGTGTAGAGCTGGATGAACAC